CCCCTCCCGGGGGACTCCTTTCTAGTGCTGTGGATGAGGGAGCCTGGTGATCCTGGGCAGGTAGTGCCCCCTGCTGTCTGCCCGGCCAGACCCTAAACCCTCTCTCCTCCAAGGGATGTGACAGGATCATGGGGGCCGGAGCCCGACGCAGTGATGGGCAAAGGGCAGGGGCTCGGCTCCTGGAGTGAAGTCTTCTGTCCTTTTATTTTCCTCTGAAAAGTGGTTTTCCTAAGCACTGGGGGCTTTCCTTCCTTAGAATAAGCAGAAAAGGAGAAGAGGCCTCTTTGGTGGAGTACTGCTGCCCCCAGGTGGGTGGCCAGGGACACTACCACAGAGCAGGACGTCCAAGCACCGCCGTTCTTCGGGTCTCAGGTTCTGGTTCTCCTTCTGCGGCTCCCCATCTCCTGGCCTCCTGAATCCTGGTCTCCTTGGCCTCTGGGAGGCAGATGTCCATCACGGCCATCACCCTCCACTTCAGCGCTGACCTGGAGCGGGGACCAGCCCCAGCTGTGTGTAGGGGAGCGGATGCGACCCCACTCCTCCCGGGGACGGTGGGCCGGACATAGCCTAGAGGGCCTGTCCCGTATTAAGAAAGGGTGTGATCGGGTGAGATCAAGCTTTGATCTTAGGGCTGGGTTGGTGGGGGGTGGGAGAGGCGAGGCGGGGCTGCTTCTCACAGTGGGGTGTGCAGCACCTCCCCGGCCTGCTGTGGGCGTGGGTGCCGTTGCCAGGGCCCCGCCAGCCCCTCCCAGCTCGCCCACTGCCTTCCTGTCGCACCTGCGGTCGTGGTGGTGTAACGGCCCAGCCCTCCGGGCCCCGGCGGCACGTGGCCTAGGGTGATGCTATCTGTAACTCAGAATTTTAAACTCCTTTTTCCAGAGGATGTGGCTTCTGCGGGAGAGCTTCAAACGGTGCCCCCATTTGCCCCTCGCGGCAGCCATGACGTCATGGAAATGGGAGGGGCCGCCCCAAGCCCCCAGAACATCTGCACGGAAGTGGTAGACTTTTTTCCACTTCCTGTCCTACTTCTGGCTACAGACTCAATGTCTGACCTGCTTATTAATTTCAAAATATAGCTCTCCGTGTGATAGAGGAAACCTTACGCATGTGTGTGTCTGGGTTAAACTATGCCTGAATCGCAGGTGGCCTTACACAGAGGCAGGGCACTGGCCGCCGCAGTCTCCTGGCTCATCAGTGTATTTAGAGTGACGGCACTGGGTCTGCACACGGCTTGCTCCCCTTCCCCAGACCCACCCATCAGTCAGAAGATTTTTTTCCCTACACATTGCTCCCGGAGGTAGATTGGAGAAGGAGTTTTAAGATAGGACGCTGGAGGAAGTGAGGTGGGTGGTAATGGGGCCTTCAGCCCTGGACCTTGGTATGGTGCCTCAGTGACTGGAGGGCTGACGCCTGGAAGCCCTGTGTGCTTTCCCAGAGTAACCATCCTCTAGGCTCTGTTGGATGAGTGCCCGCCTGGGGCTGCACTGGCCAAGGGACCATCACTCAGGTTTTGCTTTTCCTGGTAGTTATTTTATTTTCTAAATTTATTTTATTTAGTTAGTTTTGGCTGCGTTGGGTCTTCCTTGCTGCACACCTACTCTTTGTTGCGGTGCGTGGGCTTCTCATTGCAGTGACTTCTCTTGTTTGTGGAGCATGGGCTCTAGGCATGCGGGCTTCAGTAGTTGTGGCTCGCTGGCTCAGTAGTTGTGGCTCGTGGGCTCTAGAGCGCAGGCTCAGTAGTTGTGGCGCACAGGCTTAGTTGCTCCGCGGCATGAGGGATCTTTCCAGACCAGGGCTCGAACCCGTGTCGCCTGCATTGGCAGGCAGATTCTTAACCACTGTGCCACCAGGGAAGCCCCTTCCTGATAGTTCTTGACAGGTTGGTTACTCTTAGCTCTTGGCTAAATTGTGAAATAGTGGCTCACCCGGCCACCTCGTCTATTAATCCCCACTTTCTTTTTTCTTATGCTCCCCCCACACCCCTACACACATATACAACTTGGCTCCTTCCCCAGTGCCTGATGGTACTAATCATTTATTTGTTCACTTGCTGCTTAAGTGTATATTAAGCATTGGTTGTGTGCCAGGCACTGTGCGAGTTGTCGCAGACACACGGATGAACAAGATACATTTTCCATCCCAAGGAGCGCATAGTTGAATGGATTTTTTTGCTGAGATGTTACCTGATAACTGAGGTGATATCTGTTAAAGGCTTTATATGTGACCCCAGGGAAGTTGGATTCTATGGCAAACCAAGAGGATAAACAATCCTTTGAGGCTCAGATGGCTGCCTCTCCAATGGTGGGTCAGGGCAGAGGGGTCGCTCTGGTGGAGCTGAAGACCCCACCCAAGTGTTCCTGAAGCACATACTGGCTTAGCCTGCTCTTCTCTTGACTGGACTGTGATTTCAGTTGTGTTCAAAAGGAAGGTCTCTGGGTGAAGTGTCAGAGAGTGTTCTAGAATCTTAGGCCTGGGGTCATGAGAAGTCATTTGGTCCATTCTTCTGCCTCCAGGGTTGGCCTGTGCTTAAAGCCTTTTGGAGCAGTAGGGCCTCTGTCCAGAGAAATGTGTTCTACAGCTAGCCTTGGTGACACACTCCCCCCTGGGATGGCATGGCCTTCCCTCCTTGAGGCTGGCCCCTGCTCATGGGGACTAGGGTTCTTCAGGGCTGGGCAAGTCTCAGGGACTTGATGACCACGTCTCCAGGTTTCCTCAGCAGCCTCTTCCCTCCACGCTGAACAATGCCGGGTCCCTTACTGCACCGAGGGGTCTGCTACAGTGGCCCTCAGCCCAGCGCTAACCCTCCCGGTGGGCGTAGGCACCCTTCCCCAGGCCCCCTCACAAAGGCCACTTTAATCCCCTCTGATACCCCCGGTGGGGCCTGGGCCAGACATGAGAACAGAGTGGACACAGGTGAGTGGACTCTGCACCACCCTCACACACCTGCTTGCTCCTGCTCTGCCCCTGGCTTGGCCCCAGTTGGCTTTAGGCTTAACAGCCTCAGACTTGAGAGAAAGTTCTTGCTGGGATTGAGGAGCCCCTGGTTTGAGATGGAAACTGCTCAGGGGTGGTGCTGACCCTGCTTTCCAGATGGCTTCTTACCTGACTGAGACCTTGTCACCCTCAGCTTGGGCTGGGCCTGGAAGGAGCAGGTCTTGCTCCCTCCCGTGGGTCTGGGAGGATCCCTAGCTGCTGCTGCCACACCCCCTCATAGGTCCTCGGATAGCTTTAGGGGTCCAGTGACCAAGGGGCTCTGCCACCTGAGGGCCCTGCGCTGGTGCGACCCTACGTGCTCCCTTGGCCTCCTTCAGCCTCCTGTGAGGTTCTTGGAGGGGCCTTTCTTTGGCCCCTTCACTGCCTTCCAGGATCCCTGCTCTTGTCCCCTGCCCTAAGCCCCATGTCCCCTTTATCCTCAGCATCTTTGCAGCCAATGGTCGGGGCAGACCTGTCTCCCCAGATACCTACACATCCCTTGCCTGGATCTTTTGTGTACAGACCAAAGTGAACTACTATTTTAGGAGGAGGAACAAAAAGACAGACTAATTTGCCTGGGAGTTTTTCACAGTTGATAAAGGCTTGCTCTTTTAAGCCCCCACCCCCACAGGGGCATTTTCATTTAATATGGGGAAGCGAATGCTTTAATTAAAAGAAATTCCCAGTGGTGGAATCTCTAGCACTGTGTTAGACTGAGGAGGAGGCAGTTTTGAGTTCCCCACGGTGGTGCCTGTCCTCCTGTGTGTGAGAGCGACCTGCTCTGATGGGATTTCCTCTGAGACCTTTCGCTCTGGTGATCTTTAAAGGCACTTGTATTTAGGCTGCACACGAGGCCGCTCAGAGAGAACTGGGGTTCCTGTGACTACCCTCGGGAGGGCTCCAGAGATGGACATGGTTTTTATTTCTATAGAAGCCAGAGAATCAGAGATGCAGGGAGTTGGGGCAGCCTCCAGTCCTACGTGACATAGGTTTTATAGGTTTTACAGGTGGTGGCCCTGGAGCTCACAGAGGGGAGGGACATGCCTAGGATGCCTGTCGAGCTGGTGGCTCCGTCCCTGTGATAAGAAGCAGGCCTGGATTGTAGCTGGAAGGATTTGCATGTTTCTGGCTTGTGGTCAGAGACACACAGGTGAACTGTACAGGTATTTGAGGATGGGACCCTCCACCCCCCCTCCCCTACTGCCCTGGGAATGGTTAAGCACTGGACTTCGGTCTTGATCGTGGTAATTGTGAAGTGGATGGCTGAGTGGTCTCTGAGGGGTGTTCCCATCAGCGTCCGTGACCCCAGGAAAGATGCTCAGGCAGCAGGAGGCTCAGGAGAACCCCAGGGGCCCCAGGGGATCCCGTCACCTGTGCTCTAGGTGAGGGCTTGAGACGTCTACTCTCCTTGGCTGAGTCCCTGGGCTTGCGGGGAGAGAGCTCATCTCTGCTTTGCTCATTCTCACATCCAGGGTGGTGGGAGTAGAAAGTGTGGCTAGGGTCAAAATCTTCTACCCGCTTCCCCCCTCCTAGACTGGGCACTCCAACGGGCTGGGCCTTGGGTTGGGACCCAGGCAGTGGAATGGTGGGTGGTTCCCAGCCATGAATTTGTAGGTCAATGCACTGTTTCAACGGGAATCCAGTCTGAAAGGAAAGGCAAAGGAAATGTTGCTTCAGGGCAGGAGACAGTGGGTGGCCTTTTGGGGACACTTGCTGTATGGTCCCTGTCTGCCAAATTTCAACTCCAGGTCATTACCACCCATGTACATGGGCCTCCTGCTACGGGTGGCCCCGTGGAAGAGCAGGGACCCGAGCTTTTCAGCGGGTTCACCTGGCCCCCAGTACAGCCTTCTAAGTGGAATTTTTTAGAGGTTTTTCCATGAAGAGGTGGACTGAAGGAGCTTGTTGAGTCAGGCTCCCCGAACGTCATCATGGACAAACGCCTTGGTTTCTTTCTGCCCAGCTAGTGATCCACAGCAGGCCGAAGACGATCCCGACCAAATCCAATCAAACAGGAGCACAGCCTCTGCTCTTCCACATTGCTTTTAATGAAGCCATGGCAGCAGAATAGACAACGTGGCTCAGATACACAAGCAGAGCAGGGCCTAGATCATGAGAGAATCTCCCCCACATCTTGGGGAAAAGGGTGATATGTATTTCTCTATGAACACTGTGTAAAAAATATAAACAGCACACAACATCTCCAGGAGCTAGAGCCCAAGAGAACGCACTGGGATCCATCCTTCAGTGGGACATCAGAGGCAGTCTCGGGGAGGGGCGGGGCAGGGAGGGAGTTTCCCCACAGCCAGGAGAGGCTGCAGCGGCCTCCGTCTTTGCTGAGAATGCCAGGCAGTAACAGGCAGCAGTGAGGGAGCAGAGGGGGTGGCAGCAGTGCTGGGCAGCTCTTCAGCGTCTTGATCACGAATATCTGGTAGGACCCAGTTGGTGGTATTGCCAGTGGGGCCAGAGAGGTGGAGGGAGCCTTCTTGTCCACGGGGGCAGAGAGTGCACCTCTCTGCTTGAAGAGTAGAGGAGGGGCGACAAGGAACAAGGGGAGAGGGAGCACGGGGCTCTCACGTTCTTGGAGACCTGGGAGGAGAAAGAACAGAAGTCAGGCTGCATACTGAGGAGATGCAGGACAGTTAGGGATGTGATGGGGATGCCTCTGTTTGTAGAGTTCTAGGAGCAAATGGGTCCCGGCTTCAGTAGTTGTGGCACGCGGCCTCAGTAGTTGTGGCGCATGGGCTTAGTTGCTCCGCGGCATGTGGGATCTTCCTGGACCACGGCTTGAACCCGTGTCCCCTGCATTGGCAGGCAGATTCTTAACCACTGTGCCAGCAGGGAAGCCCCCCGGGTTCTTTTTGATGGGATGCTCTTGTCAGTGGGATGACCTGGGGTACTGGGGGCGAAGGGCCTGGAGACTCTAGCCAGGATTAGGGTGGATAATGAATACAATACCTTCTCACCATATTGGGGTCAGAGGGCCCGAGGAAAGGAATTGGGGGCCGCCCTTTTAGGATTTGCAGTGAAAGGGATATGATAGAAGGTGTGGGTATGAATGAGTCTGGGTCCTAAGTTTCTCCTAAGTTTCCCTCATTAGCTGTGTGGCCCTTGATATTACTTGGTCTCAGTTTCTTCATTTCCAAAATGAGGAGAATAACAACTGTTCCTCATACTTTGTAGGGGAGACATGGCTCAAGCGAGGTGACTCATGTCACCTGAGGAGGGTACCATGTTTATCAAGTGTTTTGGGCCATTGCTATTAACAAGGAGAACTCCTAACAGGAAAGAAAAAGGAGGAGTCTGGTGGGCCCAGACTTAGGACCTAAAAGCAAGAGCCTGGGGGAGGGTAGCTTTGGGGACCCACCCCCAGACCCCCAGACCCCACCGCCTGGCTGAGATGCCGGCTCACCTCAGCTGGACCACAGCCGCAGCGTCATGAGCAGGTTGTACCCGACCACTTTCAGGAGGAGAACGCGGAAGCCGATCACTGACAAGTTTTGGAAGTTTAGGTTCATATCTGCAAAACCAAGGGGCCACAGCGGTCATGGGCACAGGTCTGCACAGCCCCCGTGACACCGAAAGCAGGGTGGGGAGTGGGGCGCGCTTCGGCCCCTGGATCTGCCTCTCCCTTTGAGCTTTGGTGCACATCCCCTCATACACATATTTGTACATCCTTCCAGGGTCAACAGCATTTCATTTCCAAAGGGAAACACTGACTGCATTTACTCTTTGTTTTATTTCTGAGCCCCGCCGTGGATGGGGATGGTGGGTGCTCAGAACTTATCACACGCAGCCCCCTGGGTCTGGGCCCCTTAGTGAGAATCTAGCGGCTGAACCACAAGACGGATGACTCAGTACAAATGGCTCAAATGGTAATGAATATGGGCCCAGGGTGGGTGGTGAGGAGGGGTGAGGATCTTTGAGAGACAAGGTCACGGCCTACAAGAGTTCTGCTGTTCTTCTCGAAAGAAGGCAAAAGCCCCTGGCTATGGAGGGAAAATGTCTTCGCGGTGACCTGGTTAGTCTAGGGCTACACAAAAGCTGGTCAGAGATTTCACACCTGGGCCACCCAGAAGCTCTCTTGAGCTGTGCTGACAGTGGAGCTATTGAAAGGAATACAGAGGCCTAGGAGTGAATCACTGGTCTAGCAAAACTAGACTCATCCTCAAAGTACATAGAGTAGAAAAGAAAATTAGAGATGGTGAGAGGAATCCAGGGATTTAAGAATGTCCCCAGGCAGCTCTAACAAGGGCTCGGACTGCCGTTCTTGTTTCTCAGAACTTCGTTCCTAGATCCACACATTCCTTCTCGTCACCTCTATCCCGTCCCAGTAATTGTGGGTTCATCGCCTCCACAAACCTGTGTGAAGCCAGGATAGACCCCTCCCTTACCTGTTTCAAAGCTTTTCTCTGCTATCTTGGCATCACAGGGAATTCCTAAAAGGAACAAACAAAGACATTTTTCTTAGAGTCCCGAGCGTGCTGACTCTCCCACCCCAGAAGTTGGGCTGCTGAATGTCTCCAGCCTCTCCATTCTTCCTTGTGCAGAGATCTGAGAGAACCTGTCCCATATGGGCACCTGCTGGGATGAGCCACTGACCCCTGAAGGACCAACACCCTGGCTTCTGGGCACCATTTTATTCACTTAATGAACACTGGTTGTGCTAAACGCATGTTACATGACACAAGGCCCTAAGGAGCTGTTAGACCCTGCCCTTGGGCGAGTTCCAGTCTGGAGTCTGGTAGAGGAAGTAAGACAGACACAGTGACAAGTGCCATGAGGGGTATAGATGCTTTCATGTGTTCCACAAAGTTTTGACCCCTGCATCCCAAATTTGTTTGTTTGTTTCCTCTGACTCAGTAAACAGCATTACCATTGACACAGCTGCTCAGAAATAAAATCCAGCCACCTTCCTTGATGCCCTCTTTTCCTTCTCATCCCTGCATGGTTCTGCCTTTGGATCCCAAATAGTGTTGGGCATGGGCATTTAACTCCCCTGGCCTCCATCATCTCTCTGCTGCAAGGGCTTCTTTTCTGCTTCTACTCTTGGCTCCTACAATCCATTTTCCACTCAGCAGTCAGAGTGATTTTTAAAAAAAGTAAATTGGATGTCATTCCCCTGTTTATAGCCAATCAAAAGCTTCTCATTGTACCTAGAACAGTGTCTCCCTCTCATGACGGGTGAGGCCCCGTGATGTGGCCCTTGCCTACCTCTTCCATCTCATTTCCTCCTGCCCTTCTCCTTTCTCACTGAGCTCCTGGCTCAGGCCTCTATAGGGTCCTTTCTCTGCCCTTGGCATGGCTGGTACCTTCTTAGCCTTGAAATCTCAGCTCAGATAGCATTTCCCCAGCGAGCCCTTCTGTGACTTTTGTCCCTAAGGTGGCTGTTCCCCCAACTCCAAGTTAAAGCACGTATTACAATCTGGAGTTCTTTACACTTCCACTTGCTGATGGTTGGGCTCCCCCAACGGGAATGGGGCTTGCTCGGGGCACACCCATCATCTGATGTGTTTGCTCCTCCACGGCAGCAGCTGGCATGTTGTAATGCACAATCAGTGATCGCTGAGTGAATGAATGAATGAATGAGTGAGGTTAGGAGCTGGGAGAGACCTTTGGCAGAGAGGGAGAAATAAGGGGAGGGATCTTGGAGAAGTGCATCAGGGCGGGGCCTGGAGGAGCAGTAAGGGGCTGAGCGGAGCCAGGGGGGTGGGGACTCAGAGTGGGTAAGCCTCAGGGCCAGTGTGCCCCTTGCCTCTCCCCCTCTGCTCTTTGCCCAGGACGTTCTGTGGCCTGCCGGCATGGGATTCACTGGTGCTCAGTAAAGAGAGGGGAGGGGGCTTTGCTGACAATTGATGAGGCTGAGACCAGCAATCAGAGCAGCTTTTAGATACCAAGGACCCGAGCCCCGAGCACAAGCAGGCCTCTCGAAGGAGGAGACTCAGCTTAGACCGGCACCAAGGCTGCGCTCACCTGAGCTGGAGTAGAAGGTCTGGTTGAAGGTGTCTCCGCATCCCAAATCGGTCCTGCTGCTCCAAGCCACGACCCCGTTGCTCTTGGAACCCAAGGCTCCCATGTCTAGCACGGTGCTGTCTGAGCTGAACACCACGGGCCTCGTGACTTGTGACACATTGGCTTGAGATTCAAAATCGGTGTATAAGCAGACGGAGGTGTTGCTGGATTTGGGGCTTCTCAGCAGGTACACGGCAGGGTCGGGGTTCTGGATATCTGTGGACCCAAAAGACACGGGTTAGGAGATGTTCATTTCCCTCCTTGCCCCAACCCAGGCCTGAGTCCAGATGCCAGTGATGGGCAAGAATGGGGCTCTGTAGGTCTGACAAGTCACATTTGTCAGGCTTTAGATGGGAAAGAACATTGTAGACACCAGCAGCTTGCAACAGACGGGACTCAGGGACAGGCACAAACCATGAGTCCTGGCCAAGAGGCCAGCCAGGCTCTTAGTGAATGCTCTCTACCAGGCCCTGCCTGCCGTTCAAGGAAAGCGGAAATGCAGGGCTACTTAAGGATACTGCCCACTCTTCTGCTTAAGGGCACTTCTTCAAAGCTCGGTAGGAATAGTAAGCGACAACATAATTCTGGCAGGACAAAGCAAGCGTAGAAAAGATATCTAGCAGAGCAAACCATACGTCTTAGAATCTGGGGTGGTCTCCCCCACTAAGGTTGGGCATTGACAGGAATGGGAGCTTTACGACAGGCTGGCATGAAGTTGGAAGATCGGTCGCATCACCAGGAGATTTCTCTCACTGATAAAAGTTTTAGATGCTACATCCAAGCCCTGGCTCTACCATTTACTAGATACAAGGCCTTGAGCGATTCACACCAGCTCCTTGAGTGTCAGGAATTTCATCTGTCAAATGCGGATGTTGCCTCATCCACTTTCCTAACCAGGCTATTCTGAGAAGCCATGAGAGTTTCTCCATATGAATTATATTTAATACACTGTGAAATACTGAAATAATTCTAGTAATTGTAGCTCTTGATACTACCAGGAGACTGCCATAATAATGTGCTACCGAGTAATACACAGTTTCTACTCTTCACCCCGCAGGAAGCAGGAGTTGCTGGAGGCTTTTCTTTAGTGTGCTGAGAATGACTCTTTAGTATTTTCATAGGATTTTGTGTCTTTAATGCAACCCTCAGTGTTTATTCTTTCAGACCTCTTGCCCTTGGAGGAGGAAGCAGAGCTCTGCCCAGAGGATTAACACGTTAGGGCCACCCAGAGAGTTTACAGCAGGGTTGCGACAACAGCTTCCTGCCCCTGTGGTTCTCTGCTGCCCCAGCTCCCCACCACGCATGCAAAGTTTTGCAGACCAGTGATGCCTAATGCACCCCACTAGCTGAGCCAGCCAGGGTGGCCTTGGCAATGCAGATATCCAGCTTGACACCAAACCAGGGGCATCAGCCCTTGGCATGGCCTTGGGATGGTGAGTCAAGGCAGAGCTGTCTGTGGTGGGGCTGTCCCTGGAGCAGCAGAGCAAGGGTGGGTCCATGGTCACATGTGAGCAACATCCAAACCTCTGGCTTCAAAGGATTCTGCCTGCTCCCCTCTAATCTCCATCTACCTGTGGGGCTGACATCACTATGGGTTAAGGATCTATGGTGTAAATCTCTTCCTGGGAGGGGAGAGATGGGAAGCCATTAACCAATACCACACTCCAGTGGATCTGTTAGTCATCAGCGGGGGTCATGGGTGGGACTGGGGAGGGGGACATGGAAGGGTGTGGAGGTGCTGAGAGAACGTGGCCTCAAGAAGAAGGCAGAGGCTAAGCTGCCACCAGACACAGGTTGGCCTTAAGGGGGAAGGGGGTTACTGTGGGGGCCAGATGCCCAACTTTGAGTCCTGGTTAAACTCTCACTCAAGTCCTAGTGCCAGGGGGGTGTCAGGCTGGAGAAGGTCTAGACCGCACTGTCCAATGTGATCGTCTTTAGCTACTTGTGGCTATTGAAATTAAGACTAACCAAAATCAAGTAAAATTAACAATTCAGTTACCCATAAACCTTCATTTTAAGAGCTCAGTAGCTACATTTGGGTGATGCCTACTCTATAGGACAGTGCGGAATGACAGAATATTTCCATCGTCATTGAAAGTTCTATTGGACAGCATTGGTCTGGAGTGAGCAATGCTACGGACCATGAGGAAAGGCACCAGGGGCTGAGGGTGAGACTTAAAGCCAACTTGAGTTCTGTGAGGGGTGATACCGGGGCAGGCCCATTGTAGCTCAACTTTGCTAGTGAGAGATCAAAATGAAAGAGCAGTTAGTGAAGTCAGAAGAACTGAGGTGATTTTTAGCCTCTTTCAAGTCTTGTTTTTACCAGTTGATACCCTTTGGGCTTCCCTATGTGCATTTTGGCTGTGGTTTCTCCTGTCCGGCTTCCCTACCCCTGATTTCCTCTCTTACTCACCCTCTCCCCATACTTCAATCTCTTCTTTGAGCTCATCATCCAAACGACTTGTCTAAAACGTGGAGCCGATCGGGTCACTTTTTGTTCAAAATAATTCAGAGCCTCCCTATTGCCTATAGGATGATGCCCACACTTCCTGGCATGACATTGAGGGGCTGCCGTGATCTGGAGAGCTTGAATTTCCTCTCTCAAATCCTTTATATGCCCTATATGAGTACAGCTACACCAAACTCTTCACACGGGCTCCCTGGAATGTAAGCTCTGTGACAGCAAAGGCCTGTCCCTAGATTACTGCTGTGTCCCTGGTCTCTGCCATATACTAGGGGCTCAAGAAATAATTGTTGGATAAACAAGCGGCCTAGTGATGATCGGATTTGCAGAATTTCTGCTAATTAGACCTTTTGGTCAAAAAAGCTGGATACTGATCCCTAAACTTGACTCTTTAAAGCCCCCTTTTACTTTTACGCCCCATGTACCTCTAGTGCGACCTTTTTGTCTGAAAACAAAGAATGAGTCACTGTTAATTTGGAGGGCTTTAGGGGTCCATCTGCCAGAGCCCTGGGAGGAGAGACATCCTGTTTCACCTTAGCAAGATAAACGCCTCCTACCACTGATGACATCTCAGAAGGTAGCCTTAGCAAGACTGGATCAATTTTTCAGTGTGGAAGTCACCTATTCTAGTTCCTAACTGCTCATTTAAATTCGGAACTAACGGCAGAAGCCCATGTCCGAAGGCTTTAGCGCATTAGATCCCCAGGGGCACAGCAGTGATCGAAAGCTCCCCCTTGCCACTAAATCTGTTCTTGGTATTTAGGCACCAGGAACCCAAAATGTGAGTTAGCAGCACTGACTCTGAGTCTGAGTTCCACTGAGGCTCTGGCGAGCGTCAGGAAGCAGTGAGCCTGCGCAGACTTACCGGGAGTAATGGAAACTCTGGTTCCCTTACCACATTGCATCTGGGAGGCAATACCTCCATACCGCTCTGAATGTCTCCATTACAGAGAGCCTAGGTTTCCCCTTCTCTGAGGGATGGGCTCTTACAGCCCACTGAGCAAGAAGGGGGAGGTCTAGGCCACAAGCCGTCCATGGAAAGAGCTGGCCCCTCTCACCTTCACCTCTGGTCTGCATTTCTGAATTGGATTCCCAGTTTGTGGCTGGTCCTGGCCCTAATTGTCTGTAGTCTCTCTCTCTCTCTCTTTTTTTTTAAAGGCTTTGAAGCAAATTTGTATTTATTCAGTTTACCATTTCAGAGAAATATATATTTTAAAAAAAATAATAAAAGTACTATATATGATCTATTATTATTTACTATATACCAAGTTTTGTGATCAATACTGTATTCTCTTGAAGCCTCTAGTATTCCTTTTCTTCATTGTCTATAAAGTTATCTTTGGCTTTCTCTCCATCTAACTTCATTAAGATGTGTTTACTTGGCCAAAATCATGTGCCTTGTTCACTCCCAAGATCATGCCTTCTTTCTTGGTGTTCCTTATGCCTGGAAGTCCCCTCCTGTCCTTGCTCTGCCCAGACAGATCTTACTCTATCCTTCAGACTCAACGAATCCTTTCTACTGCATCAAACCTTCTCCATCTAGGCCAACTTTTCAGCTGGGACTCCATTCCTCTGTATCTCTACTGTGCCTGTTGACATCATCAGCTGGTTGATACTAAAATGTTTTTCAGCTTGCTAAATTTACAATAGTTTGGCCCCTTTGGCTAGTTTTTATACTATTTGGAGACAGGTCAGGCATCTATCTTAGATATCTTCATACTCAGTCTCACATTTTATAGATTGACGGCCACATAGAAGGCATTTAAAATTAGCCACTGAATGACTAGAGTAAAATTTTAATGCGTTTGACCTAGAGAAACACAGATTTTCAAGATCGATAGTGTGGCTTTTCCCGTTCACAGAGGCCTCTGTAAGACAATTAGTTGTAACACCCACAGTTAGCCTTACCATAGTAATACTAATATCTCCGGGGAAAAGATTAGTGACACTGGCCCATGGGGTTGCAAATGGTGCCACCTAGAATGACTCACCAAATATTGCGTTCCTTTCCCAAATGTGTGTTTATCGGTCACTCCTCTGGTATTCACACTGCAGGTGACACCATTACAGAAACTCACTGGCCCTACCTCCTATTTCAGTAGCAGAAACATTGGTCTCTCACAGGGGACGGAGGGTCACAGTCTTCTGAGGTAATACCTTCTGATCTTCTGTGTTGAGACTTTGTCTCTTAATCCTTCCCCTCCTGCCTCATCCTGCTGTAGTGCCCTCGGTTGGAGGTCGTGGTTTCCTTAAACCAAGAATTCAGTAGAGCAGAACCCCCCGCTCAGGGCAGCAGTATCCTGGATCCTCTCGTGAAAGGTCCAGGACTCCTTGCCCATCACCTAACTCATGATTCTTCAGGTTGTGGCCCAAGGATATTTCCTGAGCATTGAGCGCAGGATGAGAGGATTTTCTGGGATGGGTGGAAAGAACCATTTGGGATCCTACAGAAGATAATACCTGGGCTCAACTCAGCATCTTGGACAAAGAAGAATTAGTTGTCAATGTCCACCCTTGCCCCGCATTACTTACTTGGTTGGACACTTAGTCTGGTCCCTGCTCCAAAGTTTAACTTGTTACCACTGCCGAATCCCCACTGAGGGTAAGGTCTTTGCAATAACCTTCCTGATGTTAACCTGCTAAAACCCACCAGACTTGGAGGGCACCATTCTACAAGGCACCCTGGGTCTTTGTTTCTTAGGTTTCATATTTCCCAGGGAAGTCATTCCCCTTTCCCTTTACAATAATGAAG